AGAGAGAGAGAGATGTTGGAAATAGAAGGAATAAGCTTTATTGTATTTGATGGACAAAACTGACATTTATCTTTTGTTTAGTCTTTATTTGTCTTATGTCTCTAAATAAGGACAATATTGTCCATAAGTTGTAATTAGGGTTACTACTCAATGTTGTAATAGTAGAGGTACAAGTGACCCTTAAGCCACTTACTTTCCCTCTCTATCTCTCCATCTCTCGCATGTCTCTCTCTCTCTCCTTCATCATCTTGATTTCTTTTGTCTCTCTCTCTCTATATCTTACCAAACTATTTTCTTCTCGATTTGAATTTCAACTTGGTATTAGAGCTTGACGATCAGTAAAGATGGTAATGTAGCAAATTATTGTAGCACATTACTGTAGCATGTTACTGTAGCGGAGCTGACATTATCTTTTGGATTAGGTGATGTCATTATTGCGACATTGCCCTAAAGCCCTAACTTTTTTTCCAACAGTATCTGTGCCCATGGAGGTGAGTTTTTATTTTGGATGTCGATCAAGTATTTATTCGATAACCTAGTCATTGGATGGATTAAGGTTTGTATGCCCCAATCAAATAAGTATTGTTAGTGCTGTTTTTTGATGTTTTTTTGGAAAAAAGGGAGTGTGATCAGATCTGAGGGTGTAACCAAATCTGTAGAACTTTTATTTGAAAAGATCAAAGGGTGTTAATTGATCTCAGTCGTTGATTAGGATCTGAGGGTGTAACCAAATATTAACTATAGTAGATAATGTCTCTATCGGCATCAAATATGGAGTCGTTTGGGCCCCAAATCCCCACAAACAAGTTTTATTGAACCAATTGTTTAGAATGGACCAGGTCAGTTAGACTATTTTTGGGTGGAAAGAAAAAACTGGGATACATTGACGGCTGTGAGGATAAACCTAACCTGACTGATGCTAAATATGCAGATTAGAAAGCTAAAGATGTGGCCATTATGAATTGGATGCTATTTTCTGTGCAGCCTAGTATGAGTTGATCCTTTATCAATTGTAATACCTCTAAGGAATTATGAGAAGCAGTCTCTGAGACTTATTCCCAAAAAAAAAATATTGTAAGGGTTATGAACTGGAGGAGCAAATCAGTGATTTTAAGTAAGGTCACTTGTCACTGGTAGAATATTATGCTTCGGGATGAATTTAGCCAACATCAGCACATACAATATTCTTCTTGTGCAAAGGAACAGAGAGGGAGACTGGAAAAAAGGAAGATTTTTGATCTTTTGAGGGAAAATAATGGAGAGTATGAAACAATTTGGGCAAATCTTCTCGGTGGTGAGACTTTGCCATCACTTTCTACTGTTTTCTCCCTTCTTCTGCGTGAAGAAACTCGGCAGTGTCTATGGCTGAAACTGAAAGATCCGCCCTATTCACAAGTTTTAGTGGTAATTGAGGTGGCAGATGTTTCTGGAGCCATGGTGGAGGCTGAGGTGGTTGATGTGGCTGTGTGGAACCCCACATCTGATGAGAAGGACAAATTTAAGTGTACCCACTGTGGGAAGTCTCCACACACAAGGGAAACATGTTGGGGATCTGGTTGGATGCTTAAGGCGAAACTTTCCAAGCCAAATTCAACAACAATCAGTGAGAGATCTGCCCTTGTTACTTAAGGGTAACAAGATACCATCTCCTTTGAGCCTTAAGAAGATTTGGTGAGTATTCCTAGAAGAGAGCTCTTGGATTTCAAGCAGCAGACTTTCACTCGATACCCTTCGTCCTCCTCTAAGTCTTACATTGCATAATCAAGTATGTCTGCATCAGCGCATCATATCTCTGTAAATAGCTTTGAAACCCCTTGGATTATTGATTTTGTAGCAACTGAACATATGACTGGGAAGGCTGATTTTTTCTCCTCTTATATTCCTTGTTCTAGTTATGAATCAGTTAAAATAACAGATAATTCACTTATTACAATCATGGAAAAGGGATTCATACATGTTACGCCTTTTATTAACTTGTCATTTACTTTGCATGTTTCCAATCTTTCTAATGACCTCCTATCAGTTATTAATCTCACAAAGACCCTAAACTGCAGTATAACCTTTTTCCCTTCTCACTGTGTATTCGAGGACTCGATGGCGGGGAAGGCATTTGGGTATGGTCGTGAAAATGGACGGTTGTACTTTGTGGAGACTCCTGATTGTGCCTTGGCTGCAGCAGTCACATCTTCAATAGCTAACAAAGAAAGTGTGTATTTGTGTGTCACCTGACTTGGTCATGCATCATTTTTTACTTTGCGTTCTTTAGTTCCGAAATTGTTTCAGTCTCTGGGTCAAGTTCAATTGCAATGTGACATTTGTGAGTTGTCAAAATATTGTAAACTCCATTTCCTATTAGTATCAATAAAAAGAGTGATATTCCTTTCTTTCTTATACACTTTGGTGTGTGGGGTCCTTCTCCAGTTGCATTTGTGTTCGGATTTCGTTTCTTTGTTACATTTGTGGATGATTGTTCTAGGGTTACCGCTGTCTATCTAATGAAACACAAAGATGAAGTTGCTAATCTATTCCAAGTCTATCACAAAATGGTTAAAACTCAATATGATGCACAAATTAAAGTCTTGCGGTCTAACAACGGGGTTGAGTATGTGTCACAGACTCGAGGATTGTCGTCTTGGTCAAGGGATTGAGTTCCAAACAACGTGTCCATACACACCTCAACAAAATGGTATATCTGCGAGAAAAAATAAACACTTGTTGGAAGTCATCCGGGCTCTTTTACTGGGAATGGAAGTTCCAAATTTTTTTGGTCTGAAGCAATTCCTACTGCGGCCTTTTTAATAAACCACATGCCCTCTCCTGTTCTTAGGGAAAATCTTTCGCATAAATTGTTCATCTCAACTCACCCATGTTTCCTTTATCTCCCAAGGTGTTTGGTTGTGTATGTTTTGTCCACATCCTAAGTCTAAAGAGGGACGAGCTTGATGCTAAAGCTGCCAAATATATTTTTCTAGGGTGTCCACTCATCGCAAGGGGCACAAGTGTTATGATCCTATTACTAATGTCCACTATCTCTCCAATGATGTCACTTTCTTTGAATATGTGTCGTAGTTCTCCTCTACAAGTTATTAGTGCTCTCTTCAAGGGCGGAATAACAATTTAGTGAAGAGAGCATATCAGTTGTTCCCCTTCCTATTCCGGCACGAGTTCCATATGAAGAGAGTGGTTTATCTGAAAGGAATGGTGCATATGAAGTCGTATACCAAGAGGAAGAAAATGGTACAACTCGAAGTTCTATGCGACAATACCTCGAATGCTAACTCGAAATAAAAAATTGTTCTCGACTTACGTAACTCTTTCACCCTCTTAGAGAATCCTAATTTGGACTTGCCTGTTGCTATTCGCAAGGGTACACCTTCTTGCACTCAGCATCCAATAGGAAACTTTATATCCTACAATTCTATGTCTCCCTCTCATCGTGCCTTTGTATGTGCTCTATCTTCAGTTAGAATACCTTCAAGTGTTGCAGAAGTATTGTCATAGCCTCAATGGAAAGCTGCCATGTGTTATGCGATGCGTGCACTTGATCGGAATAATACATGAGAAATCACTAACCTTTTGGAAGGGAAGGTCATAGGATGTTGATGGATATTCACTGTAAAATACAAAGCTGATGGTACTATTGAAAGGTATAAAACAAGATTGGTTGCAAAAAGGTTTCACCCAGACTCCTGGTATGGACTGCATAGACACTTTCGTGCCTGTGGCCAAGTTGAACACTGCAAGGACCATTCTTCCACCAGTTGTGAATAAATCGTGGTCACTCCATTAGCTAGATGTTAAGAATGCGCATGGAGACATGCAAGAAGAAATCTATATATGGCCATGCGTCCTGGTTTTCAGATTAAGGTGGAGACATGAAAGGTTTGCAAGTTACAGAAGGCAATCTGTGGACATAAACAGTCTCCTAGAGCATGGCTTAAAAAATTCAGTGAGGCATTGCTGAAATTTGGGTTCAAAAGGGGTCAAACTGATCATACACTATTTGAGAAGAAGGATATTGCTGGAATTATTGCCCTTATTGTGTATGTTGGTGATATTGTTGTGACAGGAGATAATATGATGGGTATTGAGGATCTTAAATATTATTTAAGCGAGATGTTTGCTATCAAATATTTAAGACCCCTTAAGTATTCTTTTGGGAATTGAAGTGGTGCGATCAAAGAAAGGAATAGTGATCTCCCATAGAAAATATGTGTTGCACTTGTTGCAACAAATGAGGATATTGGGATCTAGACCTGTAGATACTACTACAGGAGTCAATCATAAACTTCATGGGGAAAGAGGAGAGCTACTCAACGATCTTAATCAATATCAAAGAATAGTGGGCAAGCTTATATATCTCACAATCATTCAACCAGACATTTCTTACGCGGTTAGCGTGATCAACCAATTTATGCATGCCCCACGTAAACCCTACCTTGATGTTGTGTGCAGAATATTAATCTATCTCAAGTCTGCACCAGGGAAAGAGATATTTTTTTCAAATCAAGGACATCCTGATGTTGTAGTTTACACAAATATTAATTAGGCTTGTTGCCAAACTGATAGAAGATCCAACTGATTATTGTACCTTCGTTTGGGGAAACTTGGTTACTTGGAAAAGCAAGAAGCATGTGGTGGCAAGATCAAGTGCTGAAACAAAATACAGAGTAATGGCTCGTGGTACATGCGAAGTAATGTGGATCAAAAGTATTCTTTTTAATTTGAGTGTTAGAGTTGAGCTTCTCATGCTCTATATTTTGACAATGAAGCAACCATTCATACTGTAGAAAATCCTGTTTTTCATGAAAGGACTAAACACATCGAAGTAGATTCACTTTATCAAAAAGAAGGTTGTTGCCAAGATCATTTGGACTCCTCATGTGAAGTTTAAAGCATAGTTAAGGGAACCTTGTGGGTAGGGTCGCGATCCCACGGTTCCTGCAAGGGATCATGTAGGGACCCCGATTTTTCAATTTTGAGATCTTGCTCCCAAAAAAGAGGGGACCACATTCCATCCATCAGTGGAATCCAATTTCATATCGAAATAGATCAGTGCTCTCATCAACCATGGTCCAAGGTTATGGTACATTAAAATCTTGGGTTCCATGTTTGTGGGATCTACTTTCATTAACGGATAATACGAGTTTAGAGATTGCCATTGTCCCAAGTTCCCATTATTTAGGAATTATAAGTTCCACACAAAGCACAAAGTTCCATTAGTTTTAGATTCTTAAGTTGAAGTAGGCATAGTTTAGAGTAACTAATTGTTTTATTAGTTCGTGTAAGCCATCTCTCTTAGTTGTGAGAATATATATTTCATTTAAACTCTTATATTTATGATGCTCGATTGTTTTAGATTCTTTAATCACAATGATGAATCCATAGATATTATTTGATGTTTTCTTCTATTTCAAATAAGCCATCCCTCTTAGCTGTGAGATGAGAATATATGCTTTCATTTAATGCTTGAAATTTTTAAGAAGCTTCT